AAGGGTCGTTCGACCGCCAAAGGGGTCTCGACCCAAGGTTGAGAACCGCTGGTCTAGGGAAGTTAGTGGTGGCTGTTGTAGCTGGTTGAAATAAAGGAAAACCTGAAGACAACGCTAGACTATAATTAAGTGCAATTAATGCTGATGAATAGATATGTAAATGGTATCATTATTTCTTATAACTCAGCTAGGAAAGTTCCATTGCTAAATCGCACCCATGTCTCACCCCATGGCTTTGCTGTCCAGAACTCCCCAGAAATCAGACTTACTCTGGCCTTTCTTACTTTCAGCCTCTGTTTCTCTTTCTCAGCGGGAAGCAGGCCGGGGCCGGAGCCTCCCAGTGCTCCAGCGAAGCTGTGGTCCTCCCAGGGACAGGACTCCCCCGCCTGGGGCAGGTCCAGCTGAGCCCCTTTCCTTCATGAGAGAGGCTCCTAGGGCTTTACTTATTCGGCTCCGAATTGTCCGGATGGCAGGCTGGCACAGTTGGATGGCCGCTGCCAGATCCTGGTTCTGCCACTCTTGAGCCCTTTGTGCCCTCTGCAAAATGAGGATAGCCATGAGGCTTAAAATATATATATTATTGATTTTTTACAGAGAGGAAGGGAGAGGGATGGAGAGTTAGAAACCTTGATGAGAAACACCAATCAGCTGCCTCTTGCACGCCCCTACTAGAGAGCAAGCCTGCAACCGCAACCAAGGTACATGGTCTTGACGGGCATTGAACCCAGCACCCTTCAGTCCCCAGGCCAACGCTCTATCCACTGAGCCAACCTGGTCAGGGCGCCATGGGCCTTTTATTAATAAACCCGGGATGTCCTGGGCAAACTGGGAGGAGTTGGGCACTCTAGGCCCGTGGTCAGCAAACTGCGGCTCGCGAGCCACATGTGGCTCTTTGGCCCCTTGAGTGTGGCTCTTCCACAAAATACCACATGGGGGCGCGCACGTACAGTGCGAAGTTGACTTAAAACTTCAAGTAAAGTTGATTCAGTTAATTTTAGGGAACGTTGTGGAGGGAAAGAAGATGTAGTGTCGAGGATGGAGAAAGGTATGTTGAGATGGTTTGGACATACAGAGAGGATGAACGAAAGGAGATGGACGAAACAAGTGTACAAGACGAGTGTGGATGGAAGAGTTGGAAGGGGTCGACCTCAGTGAATGTACCTCAATCAGATTGAGGACGTTTTTAGCAAAGGCCAGCTTAGGAGTCCCCTAATTAAATGAATAACAATGTACCTACCTATATAGTTTAAGTTTAAAAAATTTGGCTCTCCAAAGAAATTTCAATCGTTGTACTGTTGATATTTGGCTCTGTTGACTCATGAGTTTGCCGACCACTGGCCTAGGCTGATGTGGACCGAATTGAATTGAGAGAACCTTCTGACCCTCCTGTGACCCCCTGGGGCCCTCAGTGGGGGCTGGTGCTGCATGTACCTTGGTGAATTGCAGGCCATGCCAGGCCAGGGGTCCCCACCCCAGAGACCACTGCCTTCGGCTCAACACCCCCAGGACGCCTTGGCGTCTTGATTGCGAGGAGGAATTCCAACCTTCAGTGGAATTTTCCTTTGGTTTGTGCTTTTTTCTCGGGAACATTTGCTGCTGATTTAGTCCTGCTTTCAAATGCGGTCCAGTCACGATGCCCTGTTTTCATCTCTGTGGGACTCTTCTTCAGTCATTTCCTTTCTTCTCAGCTCGCTTATCAGGCGACACACACCCCGGGCCCGGACTTTGTTCTGACATCTCCTCCTACTTAATCCCCAGGCTGTTTCTCTGCCAAGCAGATGTGTATTAAAATGTGCATAAGAAGCAAGCTGGGCTTATTTAGAAATGTCCTCCATGTGCACAAACTCCATGGGTATACGAGTTTTTTCTATATAAAAAAACACACAACAAACGTATGGTAATAGCTAGTTAGGTGGATCAAGACACAGTCTTATTTGGCCATTCCTGCCACCATCGGTCAGGCCCCAGTGCCAGCGACACAAAAGCAGGGATTGAGGACTCCTAGATGCAGCACCTCGTAGGATCTCTTTGCTCACCGGAATGAGGGACTTGAACAGCCTGTGAAATGGTTCGTCCAACCTGAAAGAGTTGGAGTTTTATTTTTTCTTATCAGGTATTAAATCATCTACAAGGTGCGAGCAATGACTTCAGTTTCCACTCAGGTCCTTGGGGCTCATGTGTGTGCTTTAAAACAGCTTATTTTTCATGGGCTAAAGGCAGCTACGAACTAGCTGTCACTTACTAAGCTAAAGATATGGCCACTGGGCTGAAACCATACAAAGAGAAAGGGAAGTAAATAGTCTTCATTACACACACACACACACACACACACACACAAAATTGAATTATTGGTAAATATTCTGAGCCCTGTTTTCTGGATTGGCTATTTTAGATCTGACTATCAACAGACGAACAGACCTTTTGTGACCTTTTGTGACGCAGACGCCCTCGGTGCCATTTGGTCTGGAAGTTTTCAAAAACAGTACTGTTAAGGCAAGAACCTGGCAGGAAGAGGACCCCCTATATCAAGCAGTCCAGTCTAGAACGGAGGGAAAGAACTGGCCAGATCATTGTCAAATTCAAAGCCAAGAAAACACAGGGTCAGCAGGAGTAGGACAGGATGAGAGGAAGCGCCACAGAAGAGCGACCTGCAATTCATAACCAAGCAGCGTTTGCTCTCGGTCTTGTTGACGTTGGGCTGCCTGTGGGTGGCCAGGAAGAGCAGGAGGCCGGCAGCCAAGTTCTTCCGGCCTGCGCCCCAGCCAGCGGAGGTGCTGGACCGGTGGCCCAGCCTGAAGACAGCATAGTCATTCCCCAGGAAAGGAAATGAGATCCTGCTTCTGGACTTCATTCTGATCCTGAAACAAATTAAGCATCTAGCAGTGATGGCGAACCTTGTGAGCTCGGCGTGTCAGCATTTTGAAAAACCCTAACTTAACTCTGGTGCCGTGTCACATATAGAAATGTTTTGATCTTTGCAACCATAGTAAAACTAAGACTTATATTTTTGATATTTATTTTATAGATGTAAATGCCATTTACCAAAGAAAAATCAACCGAAAAACTGAGTTCGCGTGTCACCTCTGACACGCGTGTCATAGGTTCGCCATCACTGGCTAAGGCCTATAGGAGATGGAACTTACAGGGATCGTGCTGGGCAATACTTGTCCAGAAGGTAAGAAACCCGACTTCCCATCCTGTAGCAAACCACCTCCTCACTGACAACTGTATTTCAATTGAGTGACAATCAGTTTCATTTGAAACAAATACAGTGGGGCCTTGACTTACGAATTTAATTCGTTCCGAGACCGAGCTCATTAAGGAGCTCGTTAACTCAAATTACTCTATCAACTCAATGCAAAAAATCCGCCTAGAGACAGCTGGTATCTCAAAAAACTCGTTAGTGGGGACACTCGTAAGTCAAGGCCCCACTGTAACTATAAATTTCGAAGTATATCAGTGTCACTGGTTGATGTCCCCAAGCCATCATACTTACTAGCTCCTTAGCTGTATATGTGTAGTACTGGCATTTTAAAATATATTTTATTGATTTTTTACAGAGAGGAAGGGAGAGGGATAGAGAGTTAGAAACATCGATAAGAGAGAAACATCGATCAGCTGTCTCCTGCACACCCCGCACTGGGGATGTGCCCGCAACCAAGGTACATGCCCTTGACCGGAATCAAACCCGGGACCCTTCAGTCCGCAGGCCGATGCTCTATCCACTGAGCCAAACCGGTCAGGGCAGTATTGGCATTTTTAATACATTTGTACTTGTGGAGTGTGGGGTGTATGTATGGAATAGGACGTGAGTTCATTCATTGAATTTAACACCCAGAACAAAGCCTTCACTTAACTTTTTATTACTCATGGCACAAGACAGAATTTTAACAAATACCACTGAAAATGTCATTGGCAACATGAAAGTTAAGAGTAGCATGTTTTATAAAAAAAATCGTTTTTCTATGATACACATTATGAAGTGAAAAAAATCTCATAAAATACTGAAGCGAATCGCCACCTGCTGGTCAAAAATAGTTTTGCAGTTGAAAAACTTCAAAGGTACTACAGAATGAAGTACGGTAGGAGCATTTTACAATACACACAAAATTACTGAAGAAAACATTTCCTCAGCCTTTGGTACAATGTAAATACAAAGCTGTAGTCTTTTTCCCAATATTATTTACTTTTAAAGCATTGCATATAATTTGGTTAATACTGATTATGGGGCAAAAGGAAAAACCATGTTCTCTAATTTGAATACTCTAGACTCTTAATCACTTTATAGTTGGATTCCAGTTTGTAGTTTTGAAAAATACATAAAAGTTGCACATTATAAATATATATTATATGTGGTCTATATGAAACTGAGTTTGACCTAAAATGGGAAGGATGATTTCTTAATTATTCTTTCTTTGTTAGGCACGGCCTTTCTCCTGTTTGATAAACTGAATCCTTTCTAAACAGATTCCAAAAATATATTCCATAACATATCAAATCTAATATTTCCTTAAAATATATTCCATATGAAAAAGCATTCAGTGACTATATTTTTTGTATCTCTCTACTATATAAAAATATGGCTTCCATACTCTCTTTTACTTTGTTTTGTTAGTGTTTTTCTTAGGCATTGAAGGAAGGACTCTCCCTCTTTAAAAGCTATGGCAAAAGCACAGAAACCCGCTTGTGCATATTCTAGAACATTCTATAGAATCTCCTTGCTTAGTATAAGTGAAGTGATTTAAAAAATGTTCCTTTTGTTTTCTGTGAATATATCATATACGATTATCATACATAATCCGTTACAGAATATACAATAGTCAAAACTGAAGACACATAAATACAATTAAGCTATACCAAAGCAAGAGTTTTATCTTAGAGCCAATGTGAGCAGTATATATATTAGAGACTGCCATCCGTTTATGATTTCGTATTTCCCTAAGGCTGGCTATGCAATAGAATCTTATTATAAATGGTGAGGGTGTTAGTGCTCTATATCTTTAAGTGAACTGGGTTTCCCTTGTGTTATTTTTTTTTGAAGTGTAAAAGAAGAAAAAGTAAGTAAGTGTCCAATTGACCAACACCAACTCTTTTCCTTCCGGAGTGAAAGAAGGCTGTTGGGACTTGAGGGCCGAAGCTGTTGGGACTTGAGGGCCGAAGCTGGGTGTGGGCTCATACCAGTGTTTCCGACAAGAGCTCCCAGATCTGCCACCGATCTCTCTGCCAATCCAGCCAGCTGGGTTCCCCCAATCCAGCCAGCTGGGTTCCCCCAGGCCCTTACTGTTCTGATCGCTGGCGCTGGCGGGACCGGAGCAGGCGCTGCTCAGTTTGGGCTGGGCAGCCTGATGCTCTCGCTGGGCTGTTGGGCTTCCCTCCTCCCAGGGCGATCCTGAAGCTTCTTCTGGCCTCTGGCGCCTCCACAGGGGGGGCTCTGCAGGCTGGTGGGCCGCAGCTTGCTTCCCGGGCCCGGGATAAGGAGGCGGCGGCCTGCAGTCGGGCCTCGCCCTCTCCCGAGGTCTCTGGTGCAAAGGCTTGGCGCGGGTGGGCAGCCAGGCCACGTTCAGGTCGCTCTCTGCGAGGTCTTCCATGCTGCTCAGAGTCAAATACTGCTCCGACCTGGGCGTGGCCAGCTCCGGCCTGGGCGTGGCCAGCTCCGGCCTGGGCGTGGCCAGCTCCCACCTCCGGCCGCCGCCCTGGATGTGGGGCGTGCTGCACACGCGGGACACGGGAGGGTGGGCCCGGCACTCCGGGATGGTGGCCGTGGTCTGAGTCCTCCGGATGGCCTGCGGGCCACTGTCCAGTTCTGTGGGGCTCCCCTGCCCCCGGGGCCAATGTGAGGACAGGTTCCCTTGAGAAAGGGAGCACGGCCCCGGTCGGAGGGAGCTGCTTTCAAAAATGTCTCCATAGGAACCTGGAAGCCAGAGAGAAGGGCAAGACATGGAATTAGGGTCCAGGCTCCTGGTTCAGATGCCCTGGTGCTTCCTTCCCTGCTGGCTCCGAGGATTGAGAAAGCACAGGGCACTCTCAGGTGCCGCTGGGACTCAGTGGTCGGCAAACTCATTAGTCAACAGAGCCAAATAGCAACAGTACAACGATTGACATTTCTACACTCATTTGGCCCAGCTGGTGTGGCTCAGTGGTTGGGCATCGACCCAGGAACCAAGAGGTCACGGTTCAATTCGTGGTCAGGGCACATCCCTGGGTTGCAGGCTAGATCCCCAGTAGGGGGCATGCAGGAGGTAGCCGATCAATGTTTCTCATCTCATCGATGTTTCTATCTCTCCCTTTCCCTTCCTCTTTTTCTAAAAATCAATAAAAAATATATTTAATAAAAACAGTTTACACACTTAATGCTATAAACTAACATATACTTCATATGGATTAAGGAATTAAGGTAAAAGAATGAAATACTATGAAAGTGAAAGGCATATAGATGACTATCCAATGCTTAGTAAAGATTAATTTGTAAAAAATTCACAAAAAGAGATACTGATAGACTTAATTATGTGAAACCTAAGAACATTCCAGATATCCAAAGTGAGAAAAAACGCAAGGCATAATATCAGTGACAAACAATATAGACAAAGGGTTAACATCTTTATTAGAGGAAGAGTTCATCGGAATCAATTTTTAAAACATTAGCGCACATAAATAGCCAATGACATAAATGATAACTCAATGGAGGAAAATTCAGTAAATTAATAGAAAAACTGAAAAATGCTGATGAGAAAGAAATGCAAATGAGAAGAAGACAATGGAATACCCCTCAACCATTATAAGGATGAAATACTGCCATCTGCGATAGCATGGATGGATCCTGAGGGTACCATGTTAAGCGAAATAAGTCTGGTGGAAAAGGACAAGAACCACATGATCTCACTCATTTGTGGGATATAAAACAGAAAGCAACAAATAAATAAATGAATGGACACAGACAACAGTATGGTGGTTACCAGAGAGGGTGGGGGGTGAGGGGAGGACAAAGAGAGTAAAGGAGGTGAAATATATGATGACAGAGGGAAACTAAGATTTTGAGTTGTGAGCACACAATACAATATACAGGTGATGTATCCTAGAACTGTACACCTGAATCCTATATAATGTTATTAACCAATGTCCCCCCAATACATTTTTTTTTAAAAAAGTAATGCCATTTTGTTTGTTAAGTTGGCAAAAATGCAAAGCCAATGACTTGTCATGCTGATCAGGTTAAAGAGTCACAGACAGTGCGGCCACCTGCAGCTCCCAGAGAACAAACTCACGCGCCCTACAGGGAACAAGAAGTGACTGTGTACCTCTCAGATCTGTGATTTGTGATTCGCTTTCCTAATCTGAATTTATAACTTTCTTCCCAAAATTTTGTGACCCCAACAATAATTTAAAATGCAAGAATGTACATAAGCCCAGCCAGTGTGTCTCAGGGGTTCAGTGACGATCCATTAACCATGAGGTCACCGTTCAACTCCCGGTCAGGGCACAGGCCCGGGTTGCCGGCTTCATCCCCAGTAGGGGGCGTGCAGGAGGCAGCCATCCATGATTCTCCCTCCGTGATGTTTCTCTCTCTCTCTCCCTTCCACTCACTCTAAAAATCAATAAAAACTGGGGGCAGGAGCAGGCAGGAGAGGTCAATGGAGGAAAAAGACATATGTAAAAACTTTCAACAATAAAGAATTTTTAAAAAATTAATAAAAACATTTTTAAAAATGTACATAAAAGGAGTTCCTGACAGCATTAATTTATTACAAGAACAACAACAAAATGGAAACAACCCCGTTGTCCAGGCACTGGGTGGTTAGCGATGACTATGCACTCTGAAGTACGCAGTGGCCCTGACCAATAATCATGGAGGATAACCAGGAAATGGAAGTTAAATAATGTAGAGTTGCTGAGACAGAATGATTTTAGCCATGTTTACAAACTCTTGCAAGGGAAATGACATGAAATCTAGTCAGAGACTGACATACTTTGGTGGAAAGGCTAAGGGCAACTTTATCCTATCCCCTTATTCTCAGCATTTTGCAAATAATTTTTTTATATATATTTTATTGATTTTTTACAGAGAGGAAAGGAGAGGGATAGAGAGTTAGAAACATCGATGAGGGAGAAACATCGATCAGCTGCCTCCTGCACATCTCCCACTGGGGATGTGCCCGCAACCCAGGTACATGCCCTTGACCGGAATCGAACCTGGGACCTTTCAGTCCGCAGGCCGACGCTCTATCCACTGAGCCAAACTGGTTAGGGCTGCAAATAATTTTTTTTTATTGATTTTTTACAGAGAAGGGAGAGGGATAGAGAGCTAGAAACATCGATGAGAGAGAAACATCAATCAGCTGCCTCCTGCACGCCCCCCAGTGGGGATGCGCCCGCAACCAAGGTACATGCCCTTGACTGGAATCGAACCTGGGACCCTTGAGTCCGCAGGCCGACGCTCTATCCACTGAGCCAAACCGGTTCAGCTGCAAATAATTTTTGACAAGGATGTACTATGATAACAAGGCAAAGATGAAAGGACATTAACTTTAAAAGCAAATGCAATAAACATTTTGAAAAATACTACTTCACCTGTCATTCCTGGGTCTTTGGATCCACTCTTCAATGTTGAATGCCAAGTTCCCCAGATATTGAAAGGTTCCTCAGACATATCTAGGAAAAAAATGTATTCAAAGGTATGTAATTCACGAGGAAAACTGAGGAGCAATAACCAATACACCAATCAATGCACATCACTTCTGTGCAAAGTGCTGTATTTGAGACTGTGATGGACACAAAACAGAATACGAGGCAGACCTGCCTTTTTTCAGGCGTATTCCATTTGAGATTTACAAAAAGGCTCTTTCTATATCTGGTTGTGGTAGACAGAATAAGGGCCGCCCAAAGATGCCTGTGACAGAACCCCAGAACCTGTAAGGATGTTATATTCAAAGGGGACTTTGCAGGCATGATTGTTATGGATCTTGAGATCAGGAGAGGATCTGGGCTGATCTGGGTGGGCCCAATGTCATCACAAGGATCCTTATAAAAGGGAGGCAGGAGAGAAGATGATATGTTGATGGCTTTAAAGATGGAGGAAGGGGCCAGGAGCCAAAGAATGCAGGCCGCCTTTAGAAGCTGGAGGAGGCAAGGCAGCAGATCTTCCCTGGGGTCCCCAGAAGGAAAGCAGCGCTGCTGACCTATTGTAGACTTCTGACGTCCAGAACTATAGGGTGTCCCAAAATTCACGCAAGATTTGCAATTGAATTGTATTGCAAATCTTGCGTGACTTTTGGGATACCCCATATAAGATAAAGTTGTGTGTAGTTTTAAGTCACTAAGTTTGTGGTCATTCGTTACAGCAGCGATAGAAAAGGAATACAATGATGATGAGTGGCAAGAGCTCCAGCCACATTAACAGAGAGATAGAGGAACAGCAGTTATAGTTCCTATATCTAGTATTACCCTCAGGAATACTCCGCTATTGGTATCAACAGATTCATCCCTGCATGTACTCATTCATACATCCTCTTAGTCTGTCCATAAATATTTACTGATGAAGGCGCTATTTTATGTCTTCTTACCATCTCATAGAATCCTCACTACAGTCCTGTGATGTGATCATAATGATAATTTCTAGAAGCAAATATCTACTGGGAGCTTCCCTGTGTTCTGCAGTTCACATGTATTCTCTCACTGAATCCCAAACTTAAAAGCTGGGGGCAGGAGCAGGCGGGAGAGGTCAATGGGGGAAAAAGACATATGCAAAACTTTCAACAATAAAGAATTTATTTATAAAGAAAGTATTACCGAATGGTTATCACATGCCAAGTTTTTTGTTAAGAACTTTATATGGATTAGCTAATTAAACTTATGAATTAACTCTGCTATCTGTCTTAGTATATCTATGTTGATTTCAAAGAAGAAGGGAGAGAGAGAGAAAGAGAGAGAGAGAGAGAGAGAGAGAAACATCAATGATGAGAGAGAATCATGGATCAACTGTCTCCTGCACGCCCCCTACTGGGGATTGAGCCCACAACCCAGGCATGTGCCCTGATTGGGACTTGAACTGTGACCTCCTGGTTCATAGGTTGAGGCTCAACCACTGAGCCACACTGGCCGGGCTGTCTTAGTTTTCCTAGGAAGAGGAAATGGGACTCTGAAAAACTCTATCACTCACTTAAGGTGTTGCATGTTGAAAGTGGCAGAGCAGGTCATCCAAACCCAGTACTCTTGTCATTGGATGCCAACACTATGTGCTTCTAGTTCCCTCGGGGTGAGGTTATTTCCGGGGAGCAAGCTACAGATGAGACAGGGTGTGTCCGAGCAGCCACCCGGACTTCTACCCACCAGATGCCAAGTGTGACCCTGAAAAATGCCTCCTGACATTGTCACATGTCTCCCGGGGGGCACAATTGAGAACCACAGTGTTAGAGTTTGCCAAGACAGTAAATGGATGAAAAGAGCTAATGCGTGCCTTAGTCCCAGCTGCTAATGAGTCAGAGCCCATGTGTATCTTCGCCTACAACAGTGATGGAGAACCTTTTGAGCTCGGCGTGTCAGCATTTTGAAAAACCCTAACTTAACTCTGGTGCTGTGTCACATATAGAAATTTCTTGATATTTGCAACCATAGTAAAACAAAGATTTATATTTTTGATATTTATTTTATATATTTAAATGCCATTTAACAAAGAAAAATAAACCAAAAAAATGAGTTCGCGTGTCACCTCTGACACGCGTGTCATAGGTTCGCCATCACTGGCCTACATGCTAAACAACCAAGGCAGTGGTTCTCAACCTTGGCTGCACATTAGAATCACCTGGGAATCTTTTTAAAATCCTGCTTTCTGGGCCTCATCCTCCGGAAAGTCTGTTTCTTTGTGATGGGGTGGGGCCACAACATGAGTAACAAAGAAACAGAATTTCCGGAGGATGAGGCCCAGAAATCAGGATTTGAAAAAGATTCCCAGGTGATTCTCATGTGCAGCCGAGGCTGAGAACCACTGAACTAAGGGGCAAAGACACTGATGCAGGGAGGACAGAATCAAGGTTTCCTGGTGTGAACTTGTCTAATAAGATCAGTTTGAATCTGTGTTTAGAAACCTGAGTATGCCACGCCTCTCCTGATAGCAAAGTTCTCTTCCGATCGCCCTTATTGTTGTTGCTTCAGAGAATATTACATATAGGAAACCTGCCACTAATTTAAAAGGGCAAAACTTAGATATCAACTATTACATCAAAGAGGGAATAAGTAAAAAATCTATGATACACCTATTTAATGGAAATATATAGTGGTTATACACAAAAAATGTTAGCAATATAAAAATTGCTAATAATAGGATTTTAGATAAAATAAGTTTACTTCAAAAGTAGTCATATTATGCCCTAGCCGGTTTGCTCAGTGGATAGAGCATCGGCCTACAGACTCAAGGGTCCCAGGTTCCATTCTGGTCAAGGGCACATGCCCAAGTTACGGGCTTGATCCTCAGTAGGGGGCATGCATGAGGCAGTCGATCCATGATTCTCTCTCATCATTGATGTTTCTCTCTCTCCCTTTCCCTATCTCTTGGAAATCAATAAAATTTTTTTAAAAAACGTAGCCATACTATGAAAAAATATATACCATTATGTACGCATATGAACAAGGACTAGGAAAATAAAGTTTCACATTTGGAAAATAAATTTAATGCCTGATGGAAACATGGGCTACTGGTTTTGTTATTCATTTTTAAAGTTATTTTGACAGGAATATTTGTAAAATAAAATAAAGATGCTATGATTTAAAAACAGGCACACAGAATCCTTTCAGAGTGACTCTTCGGGTTACATGATAAATTTACGATAAAGTAGCAAAAATTTGTACTGTGTCTTCCAATTATTACTTAACTAGAGGACCCATGCACAAAATTCGTGCAAGGGGCTTGGCCCTCACAGCCCCAGCTTTGTCTGGAAGGTGGTCCAGTCTAATTAGCATATTATGCTTTTATTACTATAGACGAGTGTCCTGCTAAGTCCCGGCCCCAAGGAATTCCTCTATGGAGGGAAAGAACAAGCAAACATCCAGTGGCCAAATACATGTGGGAAAAGCTGCAAACCACACGCTCCCTCCCAATGCAGCTATTCAATGGTGACCATTAGTGCTTTTAAGACTTTGAGAAATTGTACAATAGAGACACCATTAACTTGGTTAACCCAGCCGTTCCCCAATGTATTTGACCATGAAACCCTTATTTTGCCTAAAAATGTTGATCTCCCTGGAGACTAACATTATGTTCTTTCTGGAACACGATGTCTTGTGATATAGTAGGTTCAGTTTGTTCTCTTTAGAAGAGTAACAGCAATAATTGGATGACATCTTAGACTTCGCAAATATGCACCCAAACTCTAGGACACACGGAGTTCCTGGGATGCTGGAAGGAAAAGAGTCAGCTGGGAATATCGCTCTCTGGACGGGAGGCTGCTTCCCAGACCCTCCAAGACAGCGGTTCTCAACCTGTGGGTCGAGACCCCTTTGGGGGTCGAACGACCCTTTCACAGGGGTCGCCTAAGACCATCGGAAAACACATATATAATCACATATTGTTTTTGTGATTCATCACTATGATCTCATTATGTTCAATTTATAACAATGAAAATACATCCTGCATATCAGATATTTCCATGGCAATTCATAACAGTAGCAACATTACAGTTATGAAGTAGCAATGAAAATAATTTTATGGTTGGGGGTCACCAAAACATGAGGAACTGTATTCAAGGGTCGCGGCCTTAGGAAGGTTGAGAACCACTGCTCCAAGAGATGACTAGGCTCACCACGCCTTCCTCTTCCTGGAGAACATCTTCAGCCATGCTCAGTAAAAGCTCTCTGAGCCCTGACTGGTTTGGCTCAGTGGATTGAGCGTCAGCCTGCAGACTCAAGGGTCCCAGGTTCGATTCCAGTCAAGGGCATGTACCTTGGTTGCGGGCACATCCCCAGTAGGGAGTGTGCAGGAGGCAGCTGATTGATGTTTCTCTCTCATCGATGTCCCTTCCTCTCTGTAGAAAATCAATAAAGTATATAAAAAAATAAATAAAAGCTCTCTGAATTGCAGAAACAGAAACCTAGGGAGGGAGGGAGAGAGGGTCCGCAGGGCCCACGCCACATGCAATCACAGGCCCCGTTACCTTTTCCAAGCCGCGGTCCAGGAGAACTCTCCCCTTGACTTCAATGATGGCAGGTGGCCCACCAGCATGTACTGCTCTGGTCCTCTGTACAGCTTCTCCGAGCCCCCCGGGGCGGTGTTCTCTTGCATAGCCAGCAGGGAGCGCTCGGACAGCACGGGGGAGTTGTTGTCATAAGGGGAGAGGTCTCCGCTGGAGGCCTTGTTGGAGTCTGTGGATGAGTGCCTGCCTCCCACCGAAAAGGAAACTTCCGACCGCAGCATGTCGTCAGGGCTTCTGGCACAGGGAGACAAGGACAGGCGTGTGAGGATGCTGACAATCGGCGACAGACTCCCACAATGTGACCGTTACACACATGACAGGAGGAGAATGCATGGACACAGGCTGAAACAAACCAAAGGCAGTATTTTACATCCATACGGTGAAAGCGTTTCTATGAAATGGCCAGCAGAGGGCAGTACAACTCAACAGATGTTACTGGAGATGTCAAGGCGAAGGCAGGGGGAGGATGAGGAGATGGATCCCTGTCTTGTCCAATGTGCCTCGCTGAAATGCCTGTTGGACTCATCGGCTTTCATTTCAAAGTTATAGGCTAAACCAGCGGTTTTCCTCATGCCGCGACCCTTTCATACAGCTCCTCATGTTGTGGTCACCCCCAATTTCATTGTTACAAATTGAACATAATGAAAGCACAGTGATTCATCAATATGTAAAACAATATGTGATTATAGATGTGTTTTCTGATGGTCTTAGGCGACCCCTGGGAAAGGGTCGTTCGACCCCCAAAGGGGTCGCGACCCACAGGTTGAGAACCGCTGGTCTAAACACTCACGGAAGATTGCTCAACAAATGATGAAAAGGGTAAAAAAAAGATTAAAATATCAGAAGAAACAGAAACTTTTTGTCAAATAGAAAAGATGATTCTGTTTGCGGTAAGATGAACAAAATGTACTCGTTGGAGAATTTTAAAAGGGACCGACATCCTGTTGGAAATATGATTTGAAGAAAGGCTTTCCCAAGACAGAAATGTGTGAAAGGGAATTGAGTCAGGGGCAAACTCTGGGGAGGGCTGTATATGTGCAAAACAGTCACTACTGGGCATTGCTTGTAAGGAATGAAAAAGAGCAAAAGGCTGAAATGTGATTATTTTGATCCAACAACCATATTATGACTGTATGTGTGGGAGTGTGTGCTCACAAACACAGGCAAATCAGAAGATTCTGCATATTTCATTAAAATAATAACAAAATAAGAAATTTAGAAATAGGCTGAACTTGACAGAATATATTCAAGGCCTTTAAGACATTTAATCTTTATTTTCTTTTTGTTAATCCTCACCTGAGGATATTTTTCCATTGATTTTTAGAGCGTGGAAGGGAGGGGGAGAGACACAAAGAGAGAAACATCGACGTGAGAGAAACACATCGATTGGTTGTTTTCCGCAATGCCCCGGCCAGGGCCAGGGATGGGTCCTGCATCTGAGGTATGTGCCCTTGACTGGAATCGAACCCAGGACTCTTCAGTCCAGGGGCCAACACTCTATCCACTGAGCCAAACTGTCCAGGGCTAAGACTTTTGGGATTCACATTTGACAGCTTTAAAATATAGCATTTCACTTGCTAAAAGTACATGTAGAAACCATCAATTATCTTGGATTTAAGACATCCATTTAACTGAATATTTATAATTTTAAATTAATCTTTTATCTTATTAAGGTAATAGCAACCAACTGATTGTGGTGAATATTTTGTCATTATTTTGATATTATAGTGATTCTTTCTGGCCATGGGATACCATTCAGTCCAATGATATTCTAATCACTCAATCATTCCTGACTGTTAATGGAAAAGAGACCCAGATCTTAGTGTTGTGTTAAGAGCTTATTCTGTTTGTGGTAGCAACTGAAATATGCGTTCCCCATAGGGTTCCTGAGGGTATTCAGATTTTACATAATCCAGTATATAAGAGTGTATGTTTCGTGTGTGTGTGTGTGTGTGTGTGTGTAAAACAAATAAATAACGTCTGATGCTCACTATCTATTAAGGAAAAACTGGTAGATAACTTTTAATTTCCTCAATATCCTGAATTAAAAATAATTCAGATAAAACTATGATTGAGACTTTACATGAGGTTTATTGTGGCTTCATAGACAACTTCTCTTCCCCCAGCCAAACACTTAGTGTAAGTACGCCCATCCTTCCTGTGACAATGATGATAGTGAGGATGGTGCTACTGGTGACAACAGTGCATGTATAAAATGGCTGAAAAGATAAATATCTGACTATCATTGGTGTCCATTGCCTTTAACTACATCTCAAGGGACTCTATAAGGCACTAGTCCTTTTTACAAATAGATATAAAACATACTAATTAGCATATCCATTACAGTTTATATGCGCATGAATTGTCACAGCAACAAAAATAACAGTGAAAATGTGAATGGAACGGGGAAAAGGAATGTCAGGAGCGTGAAAGGAGTGTTTGCAGTCTTACCTGGGAACATCTGTATTCTCTACCTTCCTCAAAACAGTGGCCCTGACAACATCTTGGAGGGAAATGATGACAGATTAAAAATTCCCGAACCTGCTCTGCTTCCCCCGCCCCCCGTCCCCCTTCTTCTCTTTACTAGTCCTCGCTTTCTTTGGGTTTAATGTTTCAAAACAAATCTTTTGTGATCTGAAGGTAAACACATGCCTGAGTAACCCTTTCCTCACTGAATGGTCCTGAGCATGCAACACGGAGGAAGGGTGCTCACAGGGGGGCTGGCTTCTTCTGGGGTTTCCTGCAGGGGTTAGTGTGCAGGAGACAGGACGCGCAGCATGTGACATGTGTCGCTGGTCATCGAGACAGCCAGGGGCTTGACCACTTTCTGCTGAGGGAATATCTTACCCACGTGGAATAAATAAGTCCTTTCCTTAACTCCCCTTTTAAAAATCTTTTTCTAAAAAAACTTTATTTATTTATTTATTTATTTATTTATTTATTTATTTATTATTTATTTTGTTAATCCCCACCCAAATATATTTTTCCATTGATTTTTAGGGAGAGTGGAAGAGAGGGAAAGACAGAGAGAAACATCGATGTGAGAGAGACACATCAATTGCTTGTCTCCTGTACATGCTCTGACCAGGGCCTGGGTCAGGGAGGAGCCTGCAACTGAGGTACATGCCCTTGACTGGAATCAAACCTGGGACCCTTTGGTCTACAGGCTGACGCTCTATCCACTGAGCCACACCAGCTATGACCTCTTTAAACAACCGTATGGGAAAGAGCCAGACAACAACCGTGCGGATGATTTTCCAGAAACTTTAGGCCTCCGATGAATGAACGAAAGCTAAGGGGTACTTACTACTTCTGCTGGAAACGGGGGGGAATCGATTTCCTCTCCATAGCTAATCAAAGAAAAAAGGAGTCTCCCTAGTTCGAGGGGGAGGGAGCCCGAAGAAAAAGAGCAGGGACAATTTGTAGGGTTATCATGGGATTATATCTGGATGAGGAGACCTGGACTATGACAAGGAGACAAAGTGAATGTGTTGAG